AGAGAAATATAGCATTCTCATCACACCTCACTTTCCAGCACCCTCACCCACATCACATTCTCTTGGTAACGGCTTCTAAGGCCGCTTGCTCGACTTCCATGTTCCTGTCTCCTCCGGTTCCTGCGGTTCTTTCCCACTGTTTCCTCCTGACCAGATCAATCTTACTAGCACTGCAAACATTGTCATCCCCATTTTAGAAAGTTTCTTGACTATTTCCCTTGCCAGTTAGTATGACTTCATTCCTTCCTTCCTTTTCGTAGCAAAACTCAAAAGCCTTTCCTATGGTTTCCGTCTTCAGTTAGCACCTGCCATTTTCTCTTAAACCCTCTTTAGTCAGGTTTTACTCCTATTCCACAGGAATGTTGCTCGTGTTTCATGGTGCTAAGTCACGTCACTTTTTTAACTTAAAACATTATGTCCATTATGGTTGTGGTGGTCCCTCCGTGTTCTCCTCATGACCCAAACTGATGGAAGTGCCACCATGTGAAGTTTACACTCCAGCCAAGACAGTGAACACAGTAAATAAGTCAGTTGTATGTTAGGAGATGAGAGCTTTGTATTGAAGGTGGAGTCCAATAAGGATTGGGAGAGCTAGAAAAATGTATGTGCGTGCAGGTTACTGTAATAAATAGTGTGGCCAGGTCTCATTGAGAAATTGAAATTTGAGCAGACTTGAATGAGAATGAGAGTCAGCCAAAAGGACCGCTAGTATTCCAGGTGCAGAGAACAGTTTGAGGGAGGGCCCCAAGGTTCGGGCTTGTAGCGGGCCTGTTCGAACATGAAGGAGGCTGGGGGCAAGAGCGGAGTGATGGAGGGAGAGTAGTAAGAGAGGAGGTTGGATGACCATCTAGGGCCTTTTGGCCTTTACCCTGAGTGACATAGTCTTGTGTTTTTAAGCAGAGGAGTATTATGATGTACACTTATAAAAATAGCTTTATTGGGGTATTTTTATACAATAAATTGTACCAATTTTAAGAGTACAGTTTGACATTTTGATAAATTATACAGTTATGTAACCATCACCACAATCAGGATAATGGAACATTGTCACCCTGAAAAGCCCCTGTGTTGCTTTGCAGTTAAGCGCCTTAGCCCCTGGGCAATTCTGCGTCTTCATCTACCTGTGTATCTCTCTGGGGTTAATATTTTGACATAGTCGATGACTGTGTTCTTTTTAACACTTACTTTGTTTAACTTCCAGGACACAACACTCTTGGTTTCCTACCCTCTCAGTTTCCTCCGCTGCTGCTGCTTCCTTTCTCTGACCTCTGATGTTAGAGGATCCATCGTTCAGATCTTGGTCTTTGGTGGATTCAAATGCCATTCTGTATACAAAAATTCCCAATTTATGTCTCCAGTTCAGATCTTCCTCCCAAACTCCAGGTTCATATTCTACTACTCATTTGATGTTTTTGCTTTGGTGTCTGATATTTCAAATACAACTTGTATAAAACAACCTCTGGTCCCCTGTTCGCTGCCTCCTTGGTCCCTTCCTGCAACTCCACCCTTTAGTTACTCTGTCCAAAAGCTTGGGGCTTGTACCCACATTCAGTCCATAGGAAATCTTGTTGGCTCTGCTCCTCAGTCTCCCTGACTGCTGGCACCCTAGGCGGAGCCACCATCACCTCACCTGGGTTTCCTAAGTTCTTTCAGAAGTGATCTCCCTGCCTCTAAATTGCCATCTATTCACAAATTAGCAGCCAGAGTGATCCTTTTAAACCAGAAATCAGATAAGGTCACAGCTGTCCCCCACCCCCAGGCTTTTCATTTAGAGTAAGAGTCCATGGGAAAGCCTGTGAAGCCATGTGATCTGCCCCCTTCCTCCTCTTAGCTCTGACTTTATCTTACTCTTTTGCTCACTTGGGTTCAGCCACGTTACACTAGACTTTTTACAGATCTATTCAGCATATGCCAGGCCCCTCCCCACATAGCATCTGCACTAGCTATTCCTCTAGCTAGTCCTTGCAGGCCTGTTTTGTTTTAAACAGCAGATTTGGGGTTTTAAGGTAAAAAGGAAGCTGACAAGTTTTGGGGGCAGTAAAAATGAGGCCAGGGCTCTATCTCTTTTCTCCACGCTCCTCATTTAGGTGGTGTCTCCAGTTCCCTTGGCTTTACCTGCTGTCCAGATTCTGAAGATTTCCAAATGGGTATCTCCAGCCCCAGACTTTCTCCTCTATGCTCAAGCAAGCTGTGTCTGGCCAAGAGGCCATGGAAGCTTGATACTTGAACCTGTACCCTTGGTTCCTTCTAATTTGGATAATCCCCAGTCTCTCCAAACAGGTGTATGGAGTTTTTCTCTGAGGACAGTCGTCCTCAGTAGGTGCTTCCAGTTGTCAAGAGGAAGGGGTCAGAAGAGAAAAGAAAAACCTGATTATATAAGAAGCGACAGGGGAGGAAGACCTCTTGGTGCTGCTGTTAACAGACATTGGTTGGGTTTTTTCATGTGCTAGAAACTGGTGATCTCTGCAGTTTTCACATGAAACCACCCCATCCCGCCTTTAGTTTCCCTTGGGACCTGCAGTCCCTAGGCCAGTGATGCTAAACACCCTGCAGGATAAGCCTCCCTGCCCCGACAAAGAATTATCCAGTTCCAGATATCAGCAGCATGATGATTGAAACCCTGTTCTAGGTGATTTTAATCAATTCCCTTGGCTTTGTATAACGTGAGGTAGTGCTATCCCATGTGATAGCCATAGCCACCTATGGTGGTTGGTGTAAGTGTAAAATACCCATGGGATTTCAAAAACAGTATGGAAAAGAATGTAAAGCATTCATTTTTCATGATTATGTGTCAAAACGATAACTTTGGATTATTGGGTTAAATACATTGTCAAAAATCATGTTATTTTAAATACATGTTAATCATGTTAATTTTACCTGTTTCTTTTTACTTTGCCAAATGTGGCTGTTAGATGTTTTCACATTACATATAAGATTTACATTGAGGCTCATTATATTTTGGTCAGATAGTGCTGCTTTAGATGCTGAAGACTCACATTTACATCTCTCGTCTCAAACCTCTGCTCGAAGTTCAGGGATCCAAAGACCTACAGTAAGTCCTCACTTAACATAATTGATAGTTTCAAGGAAACCAGTTTTACAATAGGCTAATTTACTTTAAATAAGAGTTAAGTTCCTATGACATTTTCATCAATGTTACAGCAAAAGAACATTGAACAAAGATCTACAATACTTGAGAGTTCTCCTTGGTTGTCATAATATATCTCAAACCTTTTACGTCCGAAGTAGAATTCCTGAGTCTCCCAAATAATTTCTCCAACCTTTCCCATCCTTTTAAATGGTATTACCATCTACGTAGCTGCTCCAGCCAGATTCCTGGTGGTCATTCTTGGTTTTCCCCTCATTTCTCATCTCCCTCATCCATTCTTCAGCACATATTATGAAAAATGTTGCCACTTCTGTTCATATCTTTGCCACAGCTGTAGTCAAGAGCACACAGTCGTTTCCACCCCCAGGACTCCTGCGGTGTCTGCTTCTGGCATCTCTTTGCTGTATTTTTTTCCCCTCTCTTTCTTAAACTTAATCTCCATTCTGTAGCTGGGATGATCCTGATAACTATAAATCAGATGGTCACTCCATAACTTAGAACATTTCAGCAGTGTCCCATCACATTTAAAATAAAATGCCAATCTGCTGCCTTGGCCTAAAGTGCTTTGAGATACCTGGCCTCTACCCCACATTCCGGCGTCACCTCAGGCCCTTTCCTCAACCGCCATTTTCCAACCAGACTGGCCTTTGTATCAGATCCTTATACACCACCTTCATGCCTTAGGGCCTTCTTTCTGGAAGAAACTTTGCCTCGATCACTTTAGAGCTAATTTTTCAACTTTTAGGTCTTAGCTTCAGGATCAAGCATCAGAGGGCCTTCCCTGACAACCTGTAGCTAAACAAATGCCCCTTCCCATTCTCAACACCATTATGCCCAGTTTTTGTATTTTGTGGTACTTTCCCCAGTTTGTTTGTTTACTCATTTATTGATTCTTTTTCCTCACAGAATTTTAACCTATGGGTCAAGAAATTGCCTCAGTGCCTGGCAACAGTGATTGACACATAACAGGCATTTAATAATAAATGTACATATATAAGCCATCATTTGAATGACCCTCTACCCTTGCCCCCATCCATTCATTGCCTTAGTAGTAACCAGTCAGGCGAGAAACAGAGCCACCACAGGACCAGGCCTTGGCGTAGGACCAGAGGGTTCGTGGATGGCCACTCTTAGGGCTGGAGCCTTGCCCCACCCCGTAGTGCTCAGTGGTGAAGAAAAGCAGAGATAGTGGAACTGTTTGATAATGTAGGAGGGCCCTTTAGCTTTGTAGTCTGGTGATCCCTAAATGCAGAGCTCAAGCGGTTTTGGGTTTGTCTGAGTCCCACGGCTGGGCAAGAAATGGGAGGGGAGCTGGAATCCTTGAAGGAATGAAGAGGGGAGCGATGATAGCTCTCTCCCCTCTGTCTCCCTGCAGATAGTCCTCTTGATAGTTTGTCATCAGATTTGTGTATTTGAGGGTCTGCCTCCTCTGTTAGTTGGTGAGCCCCAGGAGGGCTAGAACCCTGTCTTTTGCTTGCACATACCACAATTCATTTGTGATAGTGATAGCCAATCCAGTGCTTTGCATTTACTCCTCCAGACAACTCTAAGAGGAAAGTATGTAATTATTCCCATTTTATGAGGAGGAAACAGGCCCAGAGAGGTTAAGTAAGTAAAATGCCGAAGGCCACAGAAAGGGCTCAGATTTAAATTCTGGCCATCCAGCCCCAGAGCCTGAATTTCAGCCATTAGTCTAGTGAGTGTGCCAAGGCCTGTGGCAATGCAAGCCCTATGCCTGGGAGGTTGGGGGGGGTGCAAAGCAGTGTGGTTCGGATTTGGCCTGAATCCTCAAAAGGGCCTGTGAACCTAAGACACTGCTGATTGAGATCATGTCAGCAGACCTTTCCCTCTTCTGTAGGTTCCTGGGACTGGTCTGTCATTTCTTGCACTTCAGTTCTCAGGGGCGTTAGAGCATAGATAGCCCTGATCTTAAAGCCCTGAGATGAATTCTTCTGACAAGCTGACAGCAATTCCTAAGAATGTATTTTTATTTCTCCCTTACTCCTCCCAAATCTCCTAGGGCAGGAGACTTCTTATCTCTGAGGACTGGATATGTGAGCCAAATCATGAGGCCAGTTTTGGGCAAGCTGCTTCCCTTTTCTGCCCGAAGAAGCTGTGGTCAGTGTGTTGAGTGCCCTGAGGGCCTCATATCTTTCTATGCCACATTGTGTAACTTCACTGTGGCTGGAAATCAGAGGAAGGGGTAGAGTTGAGGCTGCCATAGGCCTACAAGGCAGAGCAAGGCTTGGACCAGATCAGAGCTGTGGCTCTGTAGGTCTCTCCCCTACCACCTTAGGGAGTGTGTTGCAGCAGAACCCAGGGAGTTCTCAAATACCACCTAGGGACATCTGGCCATTTTTCGCCCAGGCAGCAGCAGTTTTTAAATCCAGCTGGGGTTTATTTTGCCTCCCACTTGAAGCACCTCACGGACTGCTTCTACTGTGGCTGGGCCTTGTTTGGGTGGGTGCCCAGAACCCACCTCAAATCGCTGTCAGAAAGAAATCCATGGAGATGGAAGGCCTGGGGTATTCATTATTCTTTTTCTCAAACAGCCAGGGACATCCCCTTGGCCTTCGTCATCTCTCAGAACCATTTCACTCTCTGTGGGCTACTGATAAAGTATATTTCCATTTCAAAAGAGAGAAATATTAAAAGAATTTCAACTTAAAGCATAAAGAATGAGAGAGTTTTGGTAGGATGGCATAATTGCCCTTCTCTGAATTCTCAGTGTTTTTACATTTCTTGTAGCAATTCCATTTTCACTGTTATCTTCCTCTTCAGATATCCGAGACCTTATCTCATCTTCCCTGCCCCCCAGCACTCAGTGGTGCCTCATGCAAAGCCCTTAGGCCGGGCCCAACCCATACGGCAAATGTTAGGGTGGAAGAGGCACAGCCCATCCCATTATTTACTGCTTCATCAACCAGCCTCAGGGATATAAACCCTGCCCCCTCGACTGCCCCTTGAATCACATGTCCTTATGCGTGGTCCTCTTCCTGATTTTTTCTTCCTTTAAACAAAACATAACTCAGTTGGCTTCATGGCTTCATGGTCAGGGGAGAGACCTGTTCTACGTCAAATTCCACACTTTTGTTCCTCTCCAGTCAATGATCTTTTACGAGAAATGAGTCTGATCCTGTTACCCTCAAACATAAACCCTTTAACAGCTTCCAGTTAGTCTTAGGGTCAGGGTGAAATTGAAATCCCTTACACAACCTACAAGGCTCTCATGAACTGGGCCTGTAACTTACCCCTTCAGTTTTCTACTGCAGATTTTCTTTTGCCACAGAGCTCTTTTTCTGGTTCCTGATGGGTGCCACTTCATCCTGATCAGGGGTCTTCATGTGACTTGGAATAACAACAGCCCCATCTTCCCCCAGACCCCCAAAGAATCACTATTAGGTTTTCAGTGTCCTGTACTTGTCCCTCCATAGTACTTATCACAGATGTAATTAAGGTTTGCCTCTATGGAGAACTACACGTCACATTTATCACCCAAATCCTGGCTCATACAGTTCAAATACTGCTAGATGAATTCAGGAACTTTTAGTGAGAGGCCTTATAGGACTCTAAAATGGTCTATGAGAAATGTGGTCTTGGTGCATAAAAGGGATTTTGTACCCACAACATGCAATTTTTCATGTAAGAACTGAGGTTTAGAAATAAACATTTGTTCCTAACTCAACAGTCTTCTTCCAAAGCCTGAAAACTAACCTTTCCCAGTGTTACCTATTTTGCGGAGAATGAAAGGATTTTCTAAGGGAAAGCATATAGGATTCTGTGAGGCTTTTTTCCTGATATTATGGAACTTACTTAACCATATAAACTGTGCTAATACAGTAGTCATTAGCCACATTTTGAGTCCTTAGTAGCCTTGTGTGGCTAACTGAAATAAAAAACTCAGTTTCTCAGCTTCACTTTTTAATTACCTAATAGCCACACGTAGCTTGTGGCTGCAGATACAGAACACTTTCAACATTGCCCAAAGTTTTATTGGACAGTGCTGACATAGAACTATTTTACGGAATATAATCTGTTTGTCTGACAGAAATCAAGATGTTATACTACTTTGTTGGCAGAGGACTGGAGATTTTGGTGAAGCCAGCAAAACTTGTACATTATTTATGTTCTGCCTGATGTGTTGCATGTCAGTCACAAGGAAACCTCAGCATCTTTGCTTCACTTTCTAGAAGAGGGACAGTCCTGCCGATTCAGGGAATGTTAGAACCAAACTGGGCCTCGTGTACTTCACAACTTGTGGGAGTGTCTGTACTGACAGGTTAACCTCTCTAGCTAGTTGCACCCTACCCCCAAAAATCAGGGAAATTTTTGCTTCACCCATGTCAGGATTATTTTAAGTATAAAATATGTGGGGAAAAAACTGTAATTACAGGTAGTGAGAATTTATATGTCAACATTTCCATACAGGATACAGTAAAGCTTAGTAGGGTTGAGTCCGTCATTAAACTCCCCTTTATGGAGATTTCAAACAATAATAAAACATCCATAAATCTTTTTAAAAAAGTTTAGAGGACACATTTCATTGCAGAATGTTGTCACTGCCAATCACTAATACCTTTTCTCTTAAAATATTGTCATGTGGTCCCCTTTTTTGATCTAACAGCTGTCATTCATTTTAATCCTAGCAGGTTATCAACACCATGGGAAGAGAGAATTCTTAAAACAGTGTGTAAGTGAATTTAAACATATACTATGAAGTCAAACTGAGTCAGCCTGATAGGTCTTTAGTGATACTTTGACTCAGCTTTTTTCCTGATGCAGGGTTCTATGTAGGGCTTACTTCTATCACTACTAACCTGAGTTTGCTAGCCTTTAAAATGGAAAGCAGCTCTGGTTATTTAGAAAGAAGGGGCATATCTGTCAATGTCTCAAAATGCTGGCTAACTTCTCTCCGCCCTTTGTTGAGGCCACATTACTTACTCCACTAAATCCTTCCTTCTACATCTAAATTTCAGACATGAATGCATTTGAATTTTGCAGTGTGAGCACAACTGAGAAACCAGAAGATACTGGTTGTAAATAAGTCACACAAACACAGAAGGATACTTAAGTGTTAGAAACGTTTATTTGTCAAAATATTTTTTAAAAAAAAGTGGGAGGAGTGGAATAAAACAAGGCTAAATTTCAGCTAATGCTGTACCACGATCACAGGTCAGACACCAAACAAAACAAACAAAACAAAACCCCCCTCCCAAAAAAAAACCCCAATGGTCCTAGCAAATTCAGAAGATTAGCTTCAATGTTAGAGTCCAGAGCTAACAGATGAGTAAAAGGTTGCCTGCCACTACATGGTCATTTTAAAGGGAAAGGAGATATTGCAGGTAGACAGGGAGAAGGGTTCAACACCTAAGGAAAGCAAGATAAGAGGAGTTCCACTGTACAGGAGAAGGGATGCCAGCATATTCCTTACCTAAGGCTGCTCAGAGGCTGAGAATATAAGGAACAGAGTGAAAGGCTACAGAGACTCGTATCAGGAGGAAAGAAAAGTCAACTTAGAATTAAATTAAGAAAGAAAACATAGTTGGTCACAAACTCCTTTGTTTACTGAAACATGAAGCAATGGAAACATCCCGGCAAAGGGGACCGCGCGGAGCAAGTTCTCATATATGACCGCAGCCCGAGGGTTCAGTCCGCAATTATCCTACCTGAAAGAGAGCACAACACAAGAGGCTTACACAGTGCCTGGAGAGCAGCTTGGCTCCGAGTACAAGGGCCCTGGTCCTGTCCTGTGTTCCAGGGGGGAAAGAACAAAGAACAAAAAACCTAGTCAGACTGGAGCAAACATATCCCATGTAATTACCCAGGAGTCTACTTTGACTACATATAGGAATCTACTTAGAGCTATATATAGAACAAGAAGCGATCTATCTGCAAGACTGTGTTGGTGATAAATACATCTGATTTTCTTATCCATCTTTTAGGCAAGACCTCTGTGATACAAGGCTACTGTCACTGTAACAAAGGGCATACAGATATTATGAAGAACTATAATTTAATGTTTGGGTCCAACAAAAACAGAAGATGCCAAGATCTCGAATATGGCCAACTGCACTATTCTAAATTTGTTTCATTTAAGTCTTTCATAGTAAACAAGTTTTCAAAAACGACAATCACAAAGGGTATCAAAGAGTGCTTCATTTACCCTCCAACATACCTACATGCCATACAGTCATGGATTTAGAGCAGTAATTCTAGTGGTTCCCTTAATTGACCACATCTCCCTTACCAAATCAAAAGTAGAAATCCTAAAATTCTCTAATTCTTCCATTGATGATGGAAACTCCAGACACCAATGGCTGGGGGAAAAAAAAAGTTAACTCACACCAAGTTCCTCTACTTAATACAGACAAAGGGCCAAATCTTGGTCTTGATCTGTGTCAATCGACTTCAAAAGTTGTGACGTTCTTGAATCAGTTCTGCTAGGGTGAGACCCGAATTTGGATCCCCAACAGTTCTGGAGTATTTCATCCTGGCAGCCTCATTAACATCAGGCTCCTGGGACTGCAACCAACTCAGGGTTATTCAGTCCATTTGAGGTTCACACCTGGAAGGTAAGTTTCTTTAAAAGTCATCACTAAAAAGAGGTTAGTTGAACAACCACCGCTTGCAGTCAAAATTCACTTTAAAAACCTTTTAAAGAACACATATACTAATTAATATTTAACTTTGCTTTGAAACATATTCGAGAGAAACAGAAGTTATCTGATAGATGATACCACCTTACTTTAGAGGCATATCCCACTTCGTGGCAGATTCAGCTGCATTCAAAGTAAAAATCAATGGCAAACTACACAAGTTGTAAGATTATCCACTTCATGTAAATGAACACACACCGCTATACAATGGTCTCCAGAGTTCCCAGTCTTGTCAGGCTCATACAGGCTATACCTTGTCACAAGTTCATGTGTATCTGCCTCTCACTATCAAAAAGGGTGACTCCCTAGCACTGTGTCTTCTACACATGCTGGAGAGAT